ACACCACTCACATGCACCCCCACTCACAGCACGCCCCTCAGCTTGTCTTCCTACAACAAATATATCTTTATAACCCATACCCAGTCAACTTTTGCACAAACCATTCTGTTCCCCACTACCTCTTTTATTTTATTTTTATTTATCACCATATTCATCATTTCATCACCATCATCATACTTTATTCGATTTCCTTCCATAACGCACAAATACAAAATTCCTCAAGTGACGCTGCATCTATTTACCTTATCATTACAGTCCTTACATTTTTCAGTTCCATATTCCAAAAAAAAATAAATAAATAAAAAAAAAAACATCTTTCTGCCATTTTTTACCATCTCCACTCTGCGTTGAGCCGTTCCGCTCCACTTTATCAATCCCTTTGTTTCAACCTCAAATAGGTTTCTATCTTCACACCTATTTGAGTTTGAGGGGGGGTTATACATCTATCATGGTGAGCATGCTTACACACCATGCGAACCATCCAAGCTGGTGAGCATCGTTATACACCATGCGAACCGCCTAGGCCAACCCATGGCGCACTCTCTAAGTCGCCCCCTTGTGATGTACAACCAAAGTTTAGTACAACGGTCCGGCATGACCCCGTAAACTGTCCCGACATTGATTTCTGTTAGCATCTACATCGGTCTGGCATGACCCCGTAAACTGTCCCGACATTGATTCCGGTTAGCTTCTACATCGGTCCGACATGACCTCGTAAACTGTCTCGACATTGATTCCGGTTAGCTCCTACAACGGTCCGACATGACCCCGTAAACTATCTCGACATTGATTCCGGTTAGCTTCTACATCGGTCCGGCATGACCCCGTAAACTGTCCAGATATTATCTGCTACAACGGTCCGACACGACCATACAGTGTCTTCTCCAACGGTGTGACACGAACATACCGTGTCTTCAACAACGATTTGACACAAACCATACAGTGTCTCCTATCCTATTTTATTTTATTTATCAGTTTACTTTCATGTTTTGTTACTCTCTCCAAACTCAAGTTGGTTAGTACCTATCCTCCTTGAGTTTGAGGGGAGCTGTTAGTATATTATTATATGTTTGTGTTTAGCTTTAATAATTAGTGTCCTCTTGCTTTATGCTTTGGGTGCCTCAATTGGTATCCTATGTTGTCTTCTCCTCTCTATAAAGAGAGTGTACATCTCTTTGTAAATATACACAGAAATACACAGAAATATGGAGTTATTCATTTGCTCTCTCTTCTCTCTTTCTCAAATTATTGTTACACTATGTTTTTGAAATGTTGCATAAGATATTTCAACTTTCTGGAGGAGTTTCTTACAAACCTCATTACAAGGCATAAGACACAATGTTAGACTAGTAAATTAGACTCGAGCGAAAACTTTGCCCACTGTATAAGTGTACATTTGAGAGAGAGACTATTGGAACTTCTTGAAGTAAAATGGCCCCATATCAGAAAAAAGAAAAAGAAAAAAGGCAAATGTAAAGTCTTTAATATATGTCGGATGGATTCACCCCATATATGTTTAAGCCTTTAAGTGGATGCATGTCTGAAATAACTTGTATTAATTCTAAGTGTGGACACTTTCGATTGCCTAACATAAATCTAAGTATGGACTTTTTGGATTCCGTAACATAAACTCCCTTCGAATGAATTACAAGCCAATCGCAACAATTCATTTTTGTACTCTAAATTATTACTAGTCAATCACATTTCAATAAAGAGCAAATTGCAATATATATATTTTTTAATCATAGATACAAACAAGCATGAAAACAAACATATAATATTGTTAATTGAGATAAATATTTTGGATACAAACTCCATTACAATGCACAGAAAATAAATTTACACACGTTGGGTACTCTTTTTCCCCTTTATTCACTCTTCAAATCTCCAGCACACATTAGGTAAACAAACCTTTATTTAGAGTAGTAGTTTTGATATTGCAAAGCAAGACAATTATTTAGAAACACAAATCATTGGAAGCATATACCCTTACACAATAAAATCCTAAGGTAGACATCACATAACCATAGGGAGTAGCTCAACATTCTTTATGGTTGACAACTGCAAAAAGAAAATGAAAACTCAATAATAATCTACTAGTAATATCTATATTTTGCTACATATAATGTTTGCTTTTTTTTATTTTTTATTTTATTTTCGGAAACAAAAAAAATGAAAATTTCAAAACCACCATTGCCTTCATATTGTTTTCATTTTTGCACAAAAAAAAGCTTTTGAAATTTTGGAAATAAATTTTTGTTGTTTCCTAAAAAATGAGATAGGTCTTAGAAAAAAAATCTGAAAAAAGTATTCAAAAAATAATTCACAAAACATGTCTATTTTTCTGTAATAGAAAATTCCTTTCAGATAAGAATTGTATGGTTTTGGGGTATAGCTTGATGTAAATCATGAATTGTCCACTTACTCATGAGAGTTTATCCTCGTAAATTCGTAATCTGGTTCACAATTGGATTTCATTTTCAGGAGCATCAGTATGTCTTGCCTGAGAAAAAAAAGAAAAAAGAAAAGAAAAGAAAAAAAATTTAGGAAAGATTATGATAGGAAATGTTCATAATGACAACCAAAAAAAAAAAATGTGAGAAACCTGATAATATTTTCTGTGGATGGAAAATAAGATATTTAAACAACCTATGCATGATTTCATAGGCTGACAAATCTATCAAGTGTATGTTGAATGGGCTTCAAAGAAAATATGCAAATTAAAAGGCCAATTAATTTTATTTATTCCTAATGTAGTAAAATTTATAGTGAAAACTCACAACATTTTTAAATTACTTATCGATTGAATAAAGATTTTACACAATGGAGAAGGACCTTACATTTTTCTAAGAGAGATAGCAAGTAGGCATTCTTCTCCTCTTTCACTTTTTGACAAATAACACTTTTTATCATTACTCCAAGTCCAGGCATCTTTCACTTTTTGATTGATTGTATATACATTTAAATTTTTTTTTTGTTTGGTCTTAAGAAAAATAAAATGTTTAATATAAATAAACATGTAGGGGGTGTTTGATAACCAAATTTAGCACTTAAAACTAAATGTATTAAGTGATAATCAATTAAGCCCATTAGATAACTACAATTGATATCACTTAAAAATTTAAGTGTTTCTTAAAATGTAAGCTAAAACTTAAAGGAAAATTTTAAATCATATGAAACTTATTTAATTCTAATTGAATTTATAAAACTAAACATAAATATCGATATATACTGTTATAAACTCACCACCACCACCACCGCCATCAACACCACCACTGTCATCACAACCACAACTATTATTACTACGACCACCACCACCACTTTCATTACTATTGTTATTATTGCCGTAAGTATTATCATCGTTTTATTACCACTACAATCACTACTGCTACCACCACCACCACCATGCCGCTGCCGCTGCCGCCGCTGCGACCACCACCACCACCACCACCACCATCACAATATAAAAATTAATATATACAATTTGAAAATAATAGATTTTAAATTTGATTTTATACATATCAAATAACTTATTTTTAGTTAGCACTTAAATTTTTATCAAATAATTTTTTAACTTAAAAAATTCAATATTCAATTTTCAATATTTAATTTTCAATCTTCAGTTTTTAACTTTATCAAATACATTACACACATTTGACTTAATGGCCTAAGGTCTCACTATTGGAATTCGGCAACTTGAAACCAAAAAAAAGAAAAAGAAAAATTCCTAATCAAAACTTAATATAAAATTTATTAAAATGCATAAAAACAAAAGAAAAAAAGAAATTGAGTGTTAACATTTTCTTTTTTCTTCTTTATTTAAGGAAGGCATTATCTCAATCCACTAGGTCTCTTCCATATTTATCCAAGGGCCTAAAAAACATTCATTGTCCAAATGTCCTTATACTAAAATTTGATAAAAATCTGCCAAATAAAAATAGAACTATTCAAATGGTTATAAATTTTAAGCAATATAGGGAGTACTACCATATGAGTGGTTGCTAGAATATTAAATAATTTATTATCTTATGTCCAAAGGACATTTATTTATTTATTTTTTAAGATAGTCAAAGGCCTTCGATAATAAAGGCATAAATGAATATTCATTGTAAAAGGCCAAGAAAAAGTAAATTTCATTACTTAACATAACACCTAAAAATAAAAATAAAACTCTATGCATGAAAGAGGATAATATATTAAATTTTAACTAAATAATAAAAGAAAACAGTAAATTTTACATTAAAAAGTGTAATCTATACACACAAAAAAAAAAATTAAAAATTTTATTTGAGTGTAATAAAGGGCCTCTCTATGCACAAAATTCATACACAAAAATATATCTAAAAAAATAATGTGTTTAAGATTCAACTCTAATATAGTGGAGTCCACATTTTGAATGAATCTCAGCCGTATTTTAAAAATCTTAAGCATTTTTAAGTGTACAAATATTGTGTATGTAGTATTGCTCTACTTTAATTTAAAATTATTAGAGATCTGTAATTATATACAAACTAAATTATCAACTATGAGGAGGAGTTGATAATTTGATTTGTAGTTTATTCAAAAATACAATGTATCATGAATTTTCATCTTGAAATTTTCTCTGAAACTGAAATATATGATGTAAATTTAAAATTAGTTAGATATGAATTATACAAACACAATGAATATACATAGTCCATTGATTTAATAGTTTATTAGTCAAGGACACAATTTAATTTAATTTTTTTTAAATAAAAAAAAAAGCATTGCCTCCTAATATAACTAATTACCCGATATGTTAAATGTGGTAAAATAGAGAAGTACCTTAGGTGGCTTTGAAATGATATATATGGGTTTGCACAAACTGATTCAAGTCCATCCCCTGTAGCGGTATTTCCATGTAGCGACCGAATCCAACTTGAACTTCCTTCAGTTTTGGTGTGCTGCCGGAAGTAGTGGCAGCGAAAGTCTTCATTTTGGGGCACGCTACCACTTGAAGATATACCAAGGATGGCCATTCAAAAGGAAAGTCGTCTCCTCCTGTGCAGAAACCACTTAGGTTTGGAAGACTTACAAGGCTGAGCACTTTGAGACTTTTGAACACTTTCGTTTTGCTTCGCAGCAACAATTTCCTCCACTTCTTCACAGTTATATACAAAAAGCTCTTCAAGTTGATGAAGAGCTTGAGCTATGGAAGGTTGGAAGACATATTTCAGTTTGCCACATGAATTGACATACAAATATGTTAGGTTGCAGAGTTGCACATGTTGACGACTGGAGCAGTTCAATATATGCTTCAATCTAGACAAGTGTTCTAGTCTTAAATCTCTCAAACTAGAAAGCAGCTTCATGCCTTCTCCTTCATAACCAAAATCAAATACTTGTTCCAATTTCTCGCATTCTACTACCGAAAGACACTCCAAATGTTGTAGCCTTTGAAGCAAATTGAATGGAAGAAGAACAGTTGATAGTTCAGGACATTCGCGAACTGTCAAACTTCTGAGCTTTGGGAAGCACACCCAGCTGGAAGTAGTAAGTGCATTTGCTGCACATATCCCTTTGAAACTATCCAACTTGTCGAGTTCCAATTCTTCCAGGTTGGAAAGCAATTGCAGATCACGTGGTTGTGCCTGTGATGAAATCCCCCATTCGTCTCTGTTGATCAAGTATTCCAATTCAGAACAATCTTCAATCCTCAGACATGTAGCTCTCTTCAACACCATCTTTAGCCATTTACTCCAATCAACAAAGCGTCCAACCAAATTTCCAAGTTTCAAATGATTTGGGGAATAATTTTCAACCCTATACTCCGAACTCGATTTTCCAATAAAAATAATAAAACTTTCCAGCTCAGGAAAAACAAAGTTCTTTGGTATATGCGCAATGTCAGGTATGGAAATGGTTAGCACTTTTAGGCGAGGCCAAGAACTTAGTACAACAGCTACTTCTACTGCAGGGTCTCCAATCCTCCTCCTCGAATATCTGCTGCCAAACAAGTACAACTCCTCCAAATGGAATACCATTGTGGCCGGAATCGGAAATTCATGTTCGCTTTCAGTCATGTCCAACAACCTTAGATTAGTTAACTCCCTTATAGCATTTGGTGCCTCAGAAAAGAAGGCACGCCTGAAGCTAAGGACTTCAAGCGTCTTTAACTGTCCAAGAAATTTAGTGCCCCCAAACTTAATTCCATCAAGAACTAATGTTCGAAGACACGTTTGGTTATTGAAAGCATCAGGACTACGAATTGGATTGTCAACAAGGTAGTATAATTGGCTCAAATCTAAAACACTAAGTGCATTCATCCTTGAAAAGAATTCATGTGAACATGACCATACATTTTTATTGTCTTGTAATAGTAATATTTGGAGCTTTGTACATTCCAAGACCTCAGGAAGGTTACTGATTTGATTTCTCATCAACGATATGCCAGTGTATTGATCCAAACCATCCATATTTGGCCAATCTTTCAAATTGCAACCAGCTCGTACAAAATACTCTTTGGATCCAATATCTATGGCAACATCACGTACAACATCATGCATTTTGATGCAATCTTGTTTATCACTAGCTAATAACAAACAGGAAGCTACGAGATTTTTGATCACTAACTTTGCTTTGCCCCTGGCTTCATGCACTGTATCAACTTTTTTGAATACCCTCAACCCCATCCCATATCGCACCAAGTCTTCTATTAAGATGTTATGATCCTCGGGAAATAAAGAACAAAGCAAGAAGCAAGCCTTGGTTTCCTCATCTAGCAGCTAGTCATAGCTCAACTTAAGACTTTTGTACACATGTTGATTGACACCTTCAATGTTTGTTGGCACTGATTTTCTCAATTCTCGAGCTGCCTCATCCCATAAAGTAGGGTCATCATTATTCTTCATTGCACTTCCAACCGTAACAAGTGCTATTGGTAGGCCTCCACATTCTTTACAAACCTCATTAGCGACGACAGTCAACACGTTAGAGTCAACAACATGGCCAACATTCTTTTTGAACAAGTGCCATGAATCATTTTCAGATAAAACACTGAGATGAACAATCTTTGTCCTCAGCGTTTCCATTCCCATGGAATTGCATACTTGCTCACGCCGTGTTGTGATTATGATTTTGCAACCCTTGTGATCACGACCAAATGGAATGCCCACGGCTGCCAAATCAAGTTTGGCCCAAACATCGTCCCATATAACAAGGATCTTCTTCACATCCCTGAGTCTTGCACACAACATGCTTGTTCGTTCAGTTGCACTTGGTTGATTAATTAAGCTGGTGAAACCCAACATGCTAGCTATTTCATCTTGAATCGTTTTAATGTTCGGGTTTTGAGACACTACAACCATCACAACTTCATCAAAAAGCTTATCAGACTTTTTTGGCGATTTCGTTTACCAAAGTTGTCTTTCCAACGCCCCCAATACCATGTATTCCAATGAAGTTGATATTGTCATCACTTAGTGCCTCCATTACATTTGTCATTGCCAAATTTCTAGAATCATAAGTCTCGAACCTTTCAGAGGGTATGGACACAATCCCCAAGGGAGCTGCAGGGTTGGATATGCTAGTGAAGTTGTCATCTTTTTGTAGCTCTTTAGCCTCCTCTATTTTATTTTTTGCTTCTTTACCTAGCCGGCGACGTGTGACCAAATCAGGAAACCACCCACTGAAACATTTCTTGTTCACATTGGAACCTCCTTGTAGAAATTTCTTAGCCTTCACTATGAACCCATCAACTTTTGTAATCCAGTGGTTGATATCTTCTCGAATTTCTTCTCTATTTTTTTTTGCATGATCAATGGATCTCTGCACTCCATTTCTCAGTCTCTCTAAAGTTTCAACTTGGATTGTCAAATTTTCAACGTATTTCTTTCCGTGAATCACATAACTGAACTCACGCCCAGCTGGCTGCACCAATAATTCAACAACTTTTCTTCCAATGGAAATTAGAATATCTGTCATGTCTGAGGAAAAACAATGTATAAGCAATGCTTAAAAATTGCTACAGTATTACTGTTATTAATAACAAAAAACTTGTGTCTGGATCTACCTGTTACACTAAAATCTTCGGGTTTAGTTTTTGACTAATGACATACAGTATTTTTTATATTCTATCTTGCTGAAGGTTATGGACAAGTTTATTCAAAATGGTGCGGTATCAAGTGGTATATATGTTACACGTCACAAATAAACTATTGTATGGGATTAATGTCGCAGATTTATTTTAGCAAGGCCTTAATGCCTTTAGTTACAAGTAAAATGTTTATGTTATGCTAATGATCACTTTTTAAAATGAAGAAGAGGCCCTACTTTCTTGCATTAAGAGTAAATAAAACAAGGAGTGCACTTAGATCTTGTCTTCTCGCTTCTCATACTATTGTAGTTGCTTATAATACTTATCCTATACAGCGAAGAGATGTTTGACAAAACCTCTGTATTATGATTTAGTTTGGCAGGAACACTGCTGGAAGTGGATCATTAGACTTATCCTATAGAGCAAAGAGGTGTTTGAAAAATCCTATGTATTGTGATTTAGTTTGCAGACTAATGAGGAACACTGCTGGAAGTGGATCATTCCCACTGCAATTGTGGATACACTATACTATCACAAGCATGAATTGTCTAATGTTGAACTTGTGCAGTTTCCTTCAATTTGGTATGACCATACTATAATGTTGAACTTGTGCAGAGTTAAAATGTGTTTTTGTTTCCACAATTAATTGAGGTAGAATTTCACTTGTCTTGCGTAATTATTATTTATATTATGTGATACAGTACTAACATAAACATATATGTACTTATTCCCCAACACAAACTAAACAATGCAATTGAGCTGGTAAAAACCCCATTAACAAAGTTGGCTTTCCATTGGCTGGAAATTAAACATATAGAATTTAATAATTAGATAATGTAAACATAATTATAGAGCTTTAGGAGGGATGGTGGTAGTAAAGATATCTAAGCTTTCAAAGGGGGGGGCATTGATTTCAGAAACCCAATTGGGAAATTCACAGTTTTCTTGATTTTTGAAATTTATGATTGTTTTGTATCACCGCTTACATAGATACTCACGATTGGTTCCTTGTTTAAAAATAAGTATTAAATAAATAATGATGTCGAATAATAGTTTACCATGTATCCCTTGAATCCTTGATATAACATGGTGAGGAAAAAATTGGTGATATATACATAATTTCTTTGTCTACTAGTTTATTTTTAACTAATTATTTATTTTGTCATGTGATGAATATTGAAGCTGAGTTTTCTTTGTTCTTTTTTCTTTTTTTTGACTTGGACAATATGGGACTATTTTTGGTACAATTTAGAGCTATTTAATTATTTAGGTAATAGTCGTGGATCACTCTTTCAGAGGGTTTATAGAGCTAAATTTTCCCTAATGGCTCCTTTATGGAGGGAAAGGCAATGAGTAATTTGTCTTGGGTTTGGCATGGGTTGTTGGAGGGGAGGAAAGTTATTGAAGCAGGTTGGCGGTATAGAGTTTTTAATGGGAAAAGAAGCTCAGATTTAGTCAAACCTTGGCAATCTAATCCTCCATGTGACTCACGGGCAGCTTTCCCATGAAAAATATGACTTGTGACAACTAACCGAATATTATTCAGACCTGTAGGTTTGGAGTTAGAGCCGAATACGCCCAAAACTTACTCGAAAAAGGGCATTTCGAGGGACGAAAATTCAAAACAGCCCCCGAACCTCCGTGTGACTCTCACAGGCTGCTTCCCCATGACAAATATGACTTGTGACAACTGACGGAATGTTATTCGGACCTGTAGGTTGGGAGTTAGAGCCGAATACGCCTAAAACTTAGTCGAAAAAGGGCGTTTCGGGGGACAAAATTCAAAATAGCCTCCGAACCACCATGTGACTCTCATGGGCAGCTTCCCCATGACAAATAGGACTTGTGACAACTGACGGAATGTAATCCGGACCCATAGGTTGGGAGTTAGAGCCAAATACGCCCAAAACTTAGTCGAAAAAGGGCGTTTCCGGGGGGCGAAAATTCAAAACAGCTTCCGAACCTCCGTGTGACTCTCACGGGCAGCTTTCCCATGAAAAATCTGACTTGTGACGACTGACGGAATGTTATTCGGACCTGTAGGTTTGGAGTTAGAGCCGAATACACCAAAAACTTAGTCGAAAAAGGGCGTTTCGGGGGCGAAAATTCAAAACAGCCCCCAAACCACCGTGTGACTCTCACAGGCAGCTTTCCTATGACAAATAGGACTTGTGACAACTGACGGAATGTTATTCGCACCCGTAGGTTGGGAGTTAGAACCGAATACGCCCAAAACTTAGTCGAAAAAGGGCGTTTCGGGGGCAAAAATTTAAAACAGCCCCTAAACCTCCGTGTGACTCTCACGGGCAGCTTCCCCATGACAAATATGACTTGTGACAACTGACAGAATGTTATTCGGACACGTAGGTTGGGAGATAGAGCCGAATATGCCCAAAACTTAGTCGAAAAAGGGCGTTTAAGGGCGAAAATTCAAAACAGCCCTCGAACCACCATGTGACTCTCACGGGCAGCTTCTCCATGACAAATAGGACTTGTGACAACTGACGGAATGTAATCCGGACCCGTAGGTTGGGAGTTAGAGCCGAATACGCCCAAAACTTAATCGAAAAATAGCATTTCCGAGGCGAAAATTCAAAACAGCCGAATACGCCTTGTTATATTATATTAATTTCTTGAACGTACACAAGTGTGTTATATTATATTTAAGCTTGCATACAAGTATCAAACTCTGAATGGTTTTTCTGAGGCCATGTGCTTCATGAGATATCCGGTATTCTTTCTTTGATAAGCCATTTATAGGTATCTCAACATACATTTCTACATATTTCCTTTTGTGATTGAACTTTATTTTTGTTATTATTTTTCTCACATGTTCTAATATCCTGAATGAAATGGCACTGTCAGACATTAATAAGTAGGGATAGTTTTATATCCAATCTAATGATTCAAGTGCCTTTTGCAAACAATTAATGAGGAAGTTGGTAAAAAGAATATTTTCTATCACATTGGGCTTTGATATTGGTTTAGCCACAAATTTGGATACATTTTATTATTACATTAGCTTTATGTTAGTAATGACAGATTTAGTAATGATTGTTCTGTATTTAACGATGTTCCTTATAACAAAAGACTTTAGAAAGACTGATAATTGATTCATCATGGAAGGTTGCTTCTTTGATATGTTATTTGTCACTTGTTGCCAAATTCATTCATGAAGTTGGGCATTTTTTAGTCCAATTCTAATGTTTTTTTGTTTTTGTAGATGACTTTGTTGCGTGGACTTTCAGAGTAATATTTTGATGTATGGAGAAGAAATTTCACTTTTGTATAGAACTAATATAATACTTTTGTCATCCCCGACTTTCGTGCAGTTCCCTATTATTGATACAGAAAACTTTTGATAGCCAACAGATAATTACTGGCATGGTACATAGATCACCTTTTGTCGCCGTACATATATATGATTTTTTGTCGTGGTACATAGATGTACTTTTTGCCTTGATACGTACATCACCTTTTGTTGTGGTACAGATTACGATGGTAATTTGTACCATGCCAAATGGTCATTTCACATGGTAGTAAATGTAATTTTTGTACATGGAGGGCTTTGATTTTTGTATGATTCTATATTTTGTATGGAATTATTATTTTAGTTTGGACAATAGTTGGTTTGTATGTAATTTGACAGTTAAAGTTATTTATTTTTTGTATATGGATGCAGATTGTGGAATGATTGATAGTATATGTATAATTTTATTTATATACGTATTATAGATTGCATGGAATGTAGACAGGTTATGGACAAATTATAATATTTGCAATAAAACATAATATCATGTTTTTGGCGACTAAAAGTTTTGTAGCAAAACAAAAAATAAAATAAAATAAAATAAAACATTTGGTGACTAAACGTTTTGTAGCCAAAAGAAAATCAAACATTTGGCGACTAAAAGTTTTGTAGCCAAAAGAAAATCAAACATTTCGTGACTAAAAGTTTTGTAGCAAAAAAAAAATCAAACATTTGGCGACTAAGATATTTCGTAGCTAAAAACAAAAGATGAAGAATAAAAACACTTTTGCCGACTAAAATTTTAGTAGCAAAAAATGTGGGAGTTTAGGCGACTAAATTTTTAGTGGCCAAAACAAAAATTATTTTCCGACTAAAATTTTAGTAGCAAAAAATGTGGGAGTTTAGGCGACTAAATTTTTAGTAGCCAAAACAAAAACTATTTGCCGACTAGCAGCCAAAAAAATTTAACTTAGGCGACTAAAATTTTAGAAGCCAAAACACTAGTATTTACTTTAAGCGACTAATATATTTAGTACCTAAAAACATTTTTTGCTACTAAATATTTGGTCGTTATTATTGAGGCTTTTGGCGACAAAAAAATTGGTCACCGAAAAGGTTTATTTAATTTTTTTCCAACCTTTTGGCGACTAAATATTTAGTCGGCAAATAAATACATTTGGCGACTAAAATAAGTTTAGTCACCAATTAGCTTTCCCGACTACTCTTCGGCTACTAATTCTGCGACCAAAAAATTTAGTCGCTAAAGCCTTTCGGAGACTAAAATTGACTTTTGGCGACTAAAAATTTAGTCGCCAAAAGTGAAAATTCTTGCAGTGTCTTGTTTTGGTAATTAAACACTTACCCAAAAGGTGACCTAGGAGTGGTGCTAAGAAATACAATCAAGTTTGGCTCATCATTGACAATACTTTGTGACTTGCTGCGAATATTCAAAATTGTCCTTTTTGTTTTGTTTCTAGAGATTGTAACAGGAAGGCTCATAGAGTAGCCAAGTATGCCCAACTTTGGGGTCTCACTATTCCTGGATGGGAATCAATCCTAGTTGGGTTACTATGGAAGTTTCTCTGGATTGTAGGTTGTAAAGACCAATGATTTCATCAATAAAATTTTCCTATCTAT